TATCTTCAGAAGAAAAAAAACTCCAACACAAGATACAAAACACCAGATAGTTAGAAAAGAAAAATACAAGAGTGGATCTATAATATTAAAGAACAAACCACCATGCTGTTCTAATACAAGTAAAGCATACTTACCAACCATGTATCTAAAAGTAGCCAAAGCAAAAAACTTACGAGTGAAAGTAAAAGTGAAGTTAGACTGAATGATTGTGAGTTTAGTCATAAAGAGCATGTAGTGACAATTTCTAAAGCGAGTTTCACAGGTTTTATTGTAATAACAGAGATAGAGGAGAATAGTTTGTCTTGTCAAAGGGTGTTCAAAGGTAACTGAACCTGCCTGTGTGGACATTTACACAAAAAAAAAAGAGATAATTATTTAATACTCTGGATACAGCTGTGATAACTAATAATGTAACAAATTGTTTTACATACATTTGACTTGTTTTGAATATATTATTTTAAAATAAAGAACTTGCAAACATCAGATAATGACAAAAATGAAGAGCAACAGAAATATATATTCTACATGGAAAGTTTGAAATGGAAACTGGTTCAAGTCTCAATTCATGCCACAGCATTGTAATCACAACCAGTTTAATTTTTTGGTTCAATCACTGACAAGCTACACAATGACAGGAAACTAAGAATGGATAGTTTCTGGTCATGGTGAATCACAATGACATACCAAACAGAAATTCTTGTAACCACAAAACTGCATAATCTGGATTTGTATCAAAGTGGCACATATTTTGAACTAGTGGGAGAACAGTGACTGCAAAACCATGTGGCAAATGTTACTTCATAGTAATCCTGAACAGGCCTGCTTGTGGAATAGGTATGAGTTATCATTTTCCCTGAAATATTTCTTACCCTAGTAATGTTAAAAGTAATAAAATTTCAGGTGTCAGAGCAAAAGCCTGTGAACAACATACACAATAAATGTAGATATATCAGGAAATATTTATAATCATGAAGTGGTCTACAACACAATTAGACTGTAAAAATCTTAGATTCCTTCCATAATTTACTATTGTGCTTATCTAGGAAAACTATTCAACATGGTTGAAACATATTTTGAATAACAGATTCACAAACTTGGATAAGTTAGAAAAAAAGTAAAACATTTCACTTAATGAGAAAAAAGGCCATTAAAATGAACAAACATTACTCTCAAGTCAAAGAAATTATGCTACGTAATTTTACTGTAAGAAGTATTGGAAAACTACACCTTGAGATTGGTGTGTTTGTATAGATAAAGATTTATTATTGGGGACACATTTTGATAGGGAGTGACCATTTCTGGAATACATCACAACTTCGACTATTACTAACACTTGCAAACAAAGGTTGCTATACAACTAATGGAATAAACAATCCTCTTGCAAAGTGGCTCCAAATGTCATAAAATTTCAGTAACTGTCCCATAGGAAAAATCTGAAAATGTCCCAAACCCATTTTCCTAAACTTCATGGACCAAAGAGTGATCAATTATGGTCAAGGGACTGATATTCAGTAGCACGTCCAGTGACCTTTTACTTCTTCAAAACATTACAAACTGTAGAACTGGAAAACGAGTTAGCATGCTAAAACATCTTTACCATAGCAACAAAGCTATATAACTACTCCTTGCTGAGGGTCTTTGAGCTTCTTTCTTTATGTCATCTTGACTCCAAGTGGCTAACTGGTGCAGCTGCTGATCTTTATATATACCCATAACAGTAGTTTGTTATGTAATTTGTAAATTCAACATGAATATTGTTACTAGTTGGGAGTGTACTTTTCAATACATTTAAAATATTCATTTTTTATGTGTCATGTGGCATGGCTGAGCTCCTATTTCTCAACTTCAGAATTTTCTAACTTCAATAATATGCTTCTAGTTTCCAACTAATTTGAAACATAAGCTATACAAGCAAGAATCTAAAATTTGAGCTTCCTAACTTCTTGATTTACTGAGATATCACTTAACTTCTCAAACTTACTAATTTAAATATTTCAAAAAGTTAAACCTAAATGTGTTAAAACAAAGCTTTGGCCAAATATACCATTACAGCTTGAAGTATACAAATACAACAAAAGCAAGTGTCTTCAATGAAGTGTGAAATGATGAGTGACAATTAAAAAGTATAAATTATGCCCGATAGAGTTAAGTACAAATGAAACCATCTCATAATAATATAACTGATCTAAGATGCTGAAAATAAGAATCAAGACGACATGATACAGAAATGTGGAAATGAAAAAAAATATATTTAAAGTTTTACAAACATCTAAAGAAATAAATACATGCATAAATAATAGTAAAGTGAATAAGTCTTCAATTACAAATGCTTTAATTGTTCCATTAGTTACTTTCAAATTTCTAATCCAGATTTTTATATAAGTGACCAATCACATCAGCTTAGAAAGAAAATTATAAAACTAAATATAAATTTCATTACCATGATTAAGGTTTAGATTTTTAATGTAGTTTATATTTAAAACATTAGAAGCATGTGACATACCACAGTATTTCCTTTTCTTTTACGAACTAAATAAGGGCGAAAATCATCACCATATCGAAGAAAATAATAATAGGAGACCAGTCTATCAAGAGGTTTCCGTATCAGGTTGATATAGATGGGTTTCTGTGAGAATCCATACCTAATTGAAAATTATGAGCTATATACACTAGGAATTTTAAGATCAGCAAATCAAACAAAATCTCATATAAGCATTACCTCTTAAGCTAATCATTTAAAAAAAAACATAGCAAACTCAAAACCAATCAGCAAGGTTGCTATTTTGTTATATTATTTTTCAAAATTTTATAAACTTTTTGATTTACAACAAACTGTAATAATCATTGTGACTGTCTTTATGCAATGCTTAATATTGTACGTGTGTGTGTGTGTGTGTGTGTGTGTTGAGTGTTTTGTTATAGCAAAGCACCACTAGCTATCTGCTGTGTCCACTGAGGAGAATTGAACCCCTGATTTTAGCATTGTAAAGACTTACTGTTTAATCAATGGGAGACACTCCGTATTATCTAAAATTTGTTCAATTAATAACTTTTGTTGGTAACAACTTTCAAAATTCATTCTGATTTGAATTTTTATTTATAACGGATAGAAAAATTAACAAAGATTGTAACTATTGCTATTAGATAAAACAAAATACTACACAGGCTTATACATAAAACTTCTAGATTAGTGATCAAACTGTTTTCTTTTATTTTGAATTCAAAATAAAAATGTTTAAAAATGAAAAACAAATTGGCATCATGAATCACAATTGGTTAAAATCGACATGGTATCTAAGTAATACACAAATAAGCAAATTTGTCATATTATTACCTTATATATTGAAATAAAACTCAAATCTAGCATCTGTAATGCCAAACAAGAGGGAATCGTCAATAGCTGCGGCAATTGAAATACGTTTAGGCAAGATTAGAGTAAACTAATCTATGACACCTTTTTTCCTTTTATTAGCTATATCTTTGTGCACCAGCAATACCAAGCGTGGGTGCATGTATACCCAATTTGATTTTATTCCTCACCAGGATCTCTACCAGTCTACCCTTGTATTGAAATTCTTTTAGGCAAGATTAGAGTAAACTAATCTATGACACCTTTTTTCCTTTTATTAGCTATATCTTTGTGCACCAGCAATACCAAGCGTGGGGTGCATGTATACCCAATTTGATTTTATTCCTCACCAGGATCTCTACCAGTCTACCCTTGTATTGAAATTCTTTTAGGCAGGATTAAAGTAAATTAATCTATGAGATCTTAGGCATGGTCAAGTTCATCAATCGAAAGGGTTTGATCTCCTGAGTTCAAAACTGTAATTAGATCTCAAATTGGTCAAGAGATGACGGAGCTATGGGGTCCAAGTTTGTACTTGAAAAAAAACCCATTAAACTCATTCTACGAGCTGCTATGCCACAGCTAGGAAAACTAGTTAACATGTTTGAAATCTATATTTTGAATAATAAAATCATAACCATGGATAAGCAAAAGCAGGTAACTTCATCCACTGAAAAAAATGGCCCTTAAAATTATCATAATTAATCTCAAGGGAAAGGAACTATGGTATACAATTGTAATGCTAAAAGTATTAGGATAACAAAGTACTGGAATGGTATCAATATTTCTCACTGGGTACACAATTTAATGGAAAAAGAAAATCAAAAAATATATTTAAAATTACTAATACTTTATATTTGTTTGTTGTTAATCCATTTATATACTGTAAACTACCAGCTTTCAAGCCAAATGCATGCATTCCTTTAGTGACATGCTCTTCTGAATGACATTTAACAAAAGTTAGTTAATTGTGATTATTTATGAAACATCTTCCGTGACATAGTAAACATGTTTGAAAATATGTGCCACAATCTCAAATGATATTATTATTCAGTGTATGATAATATTTTGCATTAAATACATATACAGTATTTCAGTGTAATACAGTGTTAAATTTATGATCCAGTGTGATATTTCAGTATAACACACAATATCAAATATTTTCCAGTTCCAAGAAATATTTTAATACTTAACACATTTAATGTTTCATCATTGCTTCTCCTACCAAGATGTCACACTCAGTCATAAATCATTATTTTCTCTGCTATAATTTCTAAAAACTTCATATTGTAACTGTAATCCATTCTTATATCTCACATTTAATTAATTCAAAAATCAGTTTTAAACCACCAGCAACTAAAATTCATTAGAGAGAGGTGACTAGAGCAAATATATAAATGTAGTAGATAGAAATGTTTTCGTAACTACAGTTCTGAGCAGATTTAACAACACAGCTCAATACATTTAACACATTACTACTGACATTCCAAAGATTATTTGATACTGTTTTTTGCAGATATATTATTTTCAAATTACTTATTGATTGACTGAAATTTTAGTTCTGAATAAATGCATTGAAGCAATGTGGTGTTTGCTTTTGTCACCAACACAAGACAACTGGAAGTCTTTAAGTTCTTTATGTAAAAACAGAAAAAAGTACTTTGAAATTCTAACAACATTATACAACAAAAATGTCAAATATATAGGGTAAGTAAATGCTAAAATTGGGCAAGAGAAAAATGGCATCAAACGCCTTGTATTGCATATTATCATAATTTATCCTAAAATTATTAAGCTTGGAAATAAGAAGTTTAAGAAATAATACAAATGATAAAACTTTATATACCATCATTTCACAATTAAAAATGTAAGATTAGAACAGATACTATTAGAAATGACTGAATGTGTGAAAATAAGTCATAAATAAAAATTGAATTGATTCAAACTAACAGTAATACTGAAAAGCTTCTTTCTTAACTTTCATACAATTTTCTACAACCATGAGCCCAATTTTTATTAAAGAAAATCAACCCATACTGGGAAAAAATATGCTAGAAATACACTGAGATTATATTAAAAAGTTAGGAAATTGTTCAAGTTTGTTGATTTGAAGCATTTGTAATTTTTTTTCTAAAAGCAAATACAAATCAAGGATCATATCAATAGAAAAATTTTGTCTGTGATACAAGTAGACTTCAAATATGTCACACTAATAAAATTTTGTATTAAGAACAACTGTCTAAAAAATGCATATTGTAGAAACATCCATGTGTCAAAAGAAGCTTTTAGGTTTGACATTTGCATTTCCACAAAGATATTTTAAGTCGTTAAGGAGAAACAGATCATCAGAAAGTGCAACTCAGTAACATTTCAACAATATATACATATAATTTATTATTAGCTAGAATTTACATAGTTCTGAATATTGCCTGGCAAGAAAAATGTAAAACAGACAGAAGGCAATGATTTTCTTTAGTACACATATATTAACCCAAATATGTTTAACAGAAAATATTGGAGTAACCAAATCACAAACTTTCAACCGAAACAAAATGTTACCATAACAAACAAGTTTACACTGGAGAAATTACTTACCTTTGAAAGTTCAAGAAAGCAATATGTCCATGGTAAAGTGCAGGTTTCTTATCCTGCCACGTTGTTACATTCTCTATAAACCTTCTCTATATGAGAAAAGATGATATATCTACTTTTACAGAAACTTAACAACAAGAACACATAGATGTCATATAAGCAGTTAAATAATTATATTCTTTACTTTAACTTCTTCACTAACACATTTATAGATACAAAGTCTTCCTAGTTCCAGGTTTATGTTTAGATACACAATAAAAAAAACATTTTTAATATTTAATTACTTATGAGAAACTTGAAACTTGTGAAGTTTGAAGGAGAATACCCTTTGTTTATGGTATAACAAAACTGCAAACTTCCATGACAATGAAAAGAGTTAAGAGCTTAATAAAAAGTATAAATACTACTTCAAAAAATTTAAAACTTATACATTTCCTAAGTTTGATATTTCACTTGCATTATGCATGTAAAGGAGTGTACAAATTTATATCTTGTAAAAAAAATTATAAATTTAAGCAGCATTCAGTAGTTAAAAATATTCATTACAAAATAATTTCAAAACAGTTCCCATAAAAAAAGGTCAATATTTTTTTTTCATAGATTATTGCAAAAATATGGAATGTTTTTCTGTGAGAACATTATTTAAAGTTGTACACATTCCTGACTAAAATAAGCAAATTATTCAACGGTACATATAATTCTGACTGAAATCAATTTTACATCATACTCCAAGTTAAGCTATTAAAAACAAGTCAGGAAAACAATCCTAAACATGTTTACAAGTTAATGTGAGTGTATCTAATGTAAAAATAAAAAATGCAATGTAAAAATAATATACTTAATCAAACGATGTTAATAAAATTATGGAATTTTACAGCTACTCATTAGAAATAGTAACTCACGAGAAAACTGAAAAATTATAATATTCCATTTTCTTTTTTTTTTACTAACATTAAAAACATTCCCCACCTGATCAGACAGTGACATTACATGCATATTCCTGGAGGTATTAATGTGCAGAACATGGAACTTGTTTCGTTTACACAGATCATAAGCCACCCCCATCAGACTTGTACTTGCAGTTTTAGGGACTCGGTTATAAATAACAAGCACATCATCAAATGAATCTTTAGAACCTTCATCAGCATTAACAAAATCAGCAAGTATATCATTTCTGTTGTGGTAATCAAAGTCTTTTACTTTGATTTCATTAACAGTAGCAGCTGCAAGAAAATAAAAAACAACCCAGGTATTTTGTAGACACAAAACTTGTCACATAACATCAAGATCACAAAAATACATCATTATCAGTATTGAATAAAAACTTTCATATAGTTATTAAAGCTGAGCTTTTCAAAGTTAAACTTGCTTTATACATACATACAAAATTGCATTTGCATGATTACTTCTGAGGATGTATTCTTTTTATTGAATTATAAATGAATCTGCAAATTTATTTAAGAACACAATTTCTATCTATACGTGACTAAAATTGTAGTTTTAGTAGTGTATTTTTCTCACCCATTTTATAAAAATAATCATTTATCATTCATTAAATACTGGGTAAAATATTCACATTTATATTATTTTCTTGTAATTGTGTGGTGAAAAGCTATCACCTTTTAATCTTAATAATGTTGAAGAGTGGGTTGTAATATGTAAAACTTTTATTTTGTATACATTCACAGAACACGTACATGTACATCGGACCCAAGGTTATTCTTTATAGATGGAGGATTGGTTTTATGAGTCTGTTAACAGCCTAATACCACTACCATCTTCTGCAGTAATACTTCTTTTGATCAGAGGTTGGCAAACTATGTTTCTTTACATGAAGAAAATTGCATTTTCACATAAAATCCTTTTTGCTTATTAGTGTTTAAGTCATAAAATTTTCAAAATATAATGATTTTGAAAATTAACTAAATACTTTTAAGGACATATTGCAACTATGAAAAAAAAACTATTACTTTTCCTTATTCTGTAACCTCGGCAATATACCATTTTAAGGTATTTATTCTAATTTTTGGGTTTTTAATGAATTTTTTCATACTAAACACATTTATGCCACCAAATGTCAGTATTACATTTACTACAGATAATGAGAACTACTATTATCTTAATCAATACTAACCTAGTTTTTTTATTGTTTCATCTTGATGAAAGACCTTTATTACAAAATGACAATACAATACAGCACAAACAACCAAACACAAAATGATGAATAACTGCTTTATCTTCCACATCAGCTTGTCACTCTAAATACGGCCATCCCTGAAATATAAAAATAAGAGTTTAATAAACATATCAAAATTGTATAGGTCCTAGAAGATATAGAAGTTTCAATACTTTATGGAATATGTTCTTGAATAATGTACTCTATCAACACATTCCAATCCTAACCTACAGTTGTTCTCAAACTTTGTCATAGTAAGCCTCATTATGTTAATAATAATAATAATGAAAAGTGCTTCCCAATAGTTTACAATTTAGATATTACATGGGAAAATCATTCAAGTTTGACGTGTCATGGTTTCTAAGTGATGCCATATAGTAAAACAAACAAGTTATTTGTGGTATATTTCTATCAACTTTATTTTTTCTCAAACCTTTTTTCAAAAACAAAACAAAAAATTGGCACTCAAATTGGCACTTGAAGTGAAGTTCCCAAGGCATAACTGGAGCAGGAAACAAATGATCAAACTCATCTTCCTCCTCAGTCTCCTTTTCAAAAAGAGGAGAAGGAATGCCTGAGAAATGGATGGGAGCTGAAGATCCCAGCTACATAAGGAAACCCACTACCATATGCACAAAGGCCATCATGCCATCCGTATTCAATGTGCATCAGTAGCCATATCTGAAACTTGACTTGTGTTAGAAAATTCTTCACTCATACAAGAAGTTGAAGATATCACATGAACTTGTAAGTTCATAATTTGAAGAACAAAAATGAAACAAAAGCACAAAGGGAGTTAGTGCACAAGGAGGTGTTTCACCCTCTGATAGGTGGATGGCTTTTGCTGCATAATAACATCATTATGCAGTAGTGCAATTTACAAGAAAATCTTGTGAGATTAAGTGGGAATTACCTAAAGGCTGGTGGCATGCAAATCTTTAAGTTAGACACATGGGGAAAATAGCTTAATGTATAGATAGGTGTGTATCATCTTAGAGCTTATCGTTTCATGTCTATCTACCCTACTAGACACACTGAGAAACATTTTGGAAGGGAAATAAGGAAATATTCTCCAAACTTTATCCATAGGATAAACTGATACAAGGTAATAAAAGCCACTGTAAATTTATGTTGACTGTTCGGAGTGAACATACTCTTATGATGAAATTCAAAATTTGAGGATCGTTATTTTATTGAGCAATTTACATAGATGAAGATTCCCCCATACTAGAAGTGATAACTAGTTAGGATCCCATGTTCACTACTTAGTGAGTTGTGATTTTGATTACAAAGACACATTTCACATTAATAGTTTATGAGTATACACAGTAAACAAGGTCCATCACAAGTATTAAAAACATATTTCTCTAAAACTAGTAAGCCAAAAGTACCAATGGTATAAAAAACAAATTAGAAATATTTCCGCACAGAACTCTTCACTTGTAGGTAACATTCTTATTTCAAGCAATACGTTAACTTGCATATAGCTCATACACTTATGCAATTCTCTACATAGCCTCACTTGGTGTTCTACAGTACCAGTAGTTTCGTAACCTTACTACAGAAATGACATATGTTGAAAACATAGTTCATGAACGGACAGTTAGAATGCTATTTGGTTTAAGAAATTTAAAATAATTACTGTAGCAAGTGGACTTAAAATTTTGGACTTGTTTAAATTAGAACTTGGAAAGATTAGTGGTGACTTGACTCATGTGTCCAAGATAGTATGGAGCTTGATCAGACTCAATAAAATAAATAGTTCGAAATAAGAATTTTAATATCAGAAGTGAAACATAAATATAAGACTTGAAAGCCCAGAAGTGGGCTTGTTCTATCACCAACATTATGTTTTTGGTTGGAGTTATTACCATGAGAAATCATTTGTTTATGTGGATTGTGTAGTTAGTTTATATCCTTTTAAACCACTGTTAGATAGATTTATAAATATAAGGGCTAGATTTAATTTCAATTGTTATATTTTCAATGAGTGTTTAGATGGAGAAAACATAAAGTTTATCATGATGGGTTGAAAAGAATTGTGTAAAATTCCTTAACTTCTGAACAAAGATGAAGAGGGCAGCAACTGCCTAACTTGCGAGTGACATTTGTAGAGAAGTCTTAAAGGTCTAATCTACACAAGTAACTCGGGTAGAAGGATGAAGTTTCAAAAGAATTCCATTGTTGGGCCAGCTTGCACTGATTTTTTGCAGGGTTTTATAGGGTATCCTGTTTTTATCGTGTCATCCAAAGCATGATGTTCAATGAAGAAAAATCCTATCATTTATCATTCCAAGTAGTACATTACAGAGGGAATTCGGTTATTTTTCTCATACAGGTAAAATAACTAAATGGGTTATTTTTTTGCATTGGGCAATTAACTGTACAATTATGTCACTATACAATCAATTTATGATGCAGCATATGACCCAGAGTCAGTGTCTGTCATGATAGTGTGTGTGTCTGTTTTGTGTGCAAATATTTTTACATATATTTAAATGTGGTAAAAACTTACCTAAGTATACACATAAAATATAGAAAATAAAGAGAAAAACTATTATAAGAAAAACTGTTTTGATATTCAAAGACACATTAATAAAGATCATAATGTACAGTAGCAAAAACACGCATATTACAACAATTGGTTGCAAAGGGCAAGTACAAATGCAACCCTGTATATTAAGAGCTTGTACATTATGTTAGTGATGTATCAATACAAGCTTGTAACAATGCATTCATGTATATGAGCATATGCTAATTTCCATTATGTAGGAAGAGTTGAACTGCACAAGTTAACATAGGATTGAATCTGAATAACAGGTTGAAATTTGCATGAATTTCAACAATCAAAAGGAAAATTAAATTTATTGTGCATACTCAACTCTGATATTTCAATGTAGCACAAGTAATAAGAATCACAAGTTAACAGTAATAACAGGATTATTTTTCAATGCCCATGTTGATTGAAACAAATTAATTTTGCTAGAAGTCAGTTTTATTTTTAAAAATATATTTTTTTTAATTATGCTGAAGCAATCCATTGTGCAACATAAACCTGTATTTTAGCTCCCAATACAGAATTTATGTTATGCAGATTCAGTCTGTATAGTAACTCATTATGCAGTCAACATATTATTATTATACATTATCAATCCATTATGCAGAACACATCTATATTTTAAATCATTATGCAGAATTCACATCACTTAGTATCCACCAGTTATCATAAACTTGAAATTATGTAAATTATTTGAAACAGCACATCCCTGAATGTTGTTACACTATGCTGTTTAATTACAAACACTTGAATTTGAAATGTCAGCAGGATACAGTAATAAACATTTCATTTCCAAGAGATAACATGAGATAGTTGGTCCATTTTAAGCAATCCTACTTTCTAATACTAATAGTAATACCACTCTACCAGTACCAGTTTGAGCCTACCACTTTACTCCTATTATTATTAATATTACTATTAGTACTACTAGTAGTAGTAATACTAATAGTATTGATAACCTTATATATATATATTATAAATATATAAAAACTTATTTTTTCAGTTACAAGTTATATCCAATCTCCTCTTAAACTCCTTCAGTTTCTGGCAAACAGCGTAAGCTCACCTTTATACTTAAATTTTGTATAAAATAAAATAACACTACCGTGTTATTAATTACTCGAAACAACCAATTTTTCTATTCAAAGATACTTTTCTCGATGAGCCTAACTGTAACATTGTTTTAGTGTTTAATGCAAAACGCCCTCTAACTTCTAAGAAATCTTGTGACGATATAATTGTTGTTTAAAAGTTTTTTCTGCTATACACCTTGGAGTTAATATTATATTATATTAACCTGCAAGGTCAAATTACGATAAATTTGGATTTCTTTAAATAATTTTAGTAAAAGAAGTGTTACATAACATCAAATTGCGAAGTTCAAAAGCATTGTAATTTGAAACGACTTTAGTCATCAGAATGAGTCCTATTTTTCGAGACCATGTTTTTAAATGTATATATATATATATTCATTTACTTACTAATTAAGATGATTTGTTTGTTTGTAATTAAGCTACACAATGGGCTATCTGTGCTCTGCCCATTACGGATATCGAAACTCAGTTTATAGTGTTGTAAGTCCAAAGACATACTGCTGTGTCAGTGGGAGGCAAATTAGATAAAACACATTGGGGTTCAATGTTTTATTTTCAACTAATTTAATTTCAACTAAAATTGCATTTTTAACGGGAGAAAGTTGAATAATGCTCTGTTGTATTTAGCGCAAAGCTACACTACAGAGTATTGAGCCTCGGATATTAGTATTGTAAGTCTGAAAATGCACCTCTGATCCACCGGAGAATGTTAAATAAGTCAGTCAAAATATAATACACATTACTGTCTGAGGTGTTCTACTATGAAGTTGTCAAGTTATTAAGTACTTGTATTTTTAATAGTGTGGTCCTTAACTCAAGGATATTTATTATATCTTAAATTATGTCTAATATGTAGCACAATTTTGTGTAAGAAGGTGACTTTAAGCAAAGCAATAACAATGTTAATATACTAACTTAGATATTTGGGGAACTAAGCTTATTCTTATTGTTTTGTCTTGTTCGGTTTTCAGTCGTGTTGTGCGCGACCTGGGAGGATCAGGTGCCATTTAGACCTCTTCCTCATTATTATAAGCTATATTCTGGGTTGGTATTCTGTCGTTTTGCGCAACCTGGGAGGGTTAGGTTCTCAGCAGACCTCTTTCTCCCTCCATGACTATTATTAATAAACTGTCAAATACTATAGTTATTATTTGCGAAATCAGGTTTTAATGCGATGTAACTGAGTAAAAACACTAATTCTTCGTCCCTCTTCAGGGCCATGTCCTTGAATGGTATGCTTACAGCATTTAGTGCTATCTTGCTCATTCTCTTTATTTGATCACATATATTCACAAACAGTTCATACTAAAGTATTTCGCTTCAGTTGGTTGCATACGTTAACAAACAGTTCCATAGTAAAATGTCATTTTGTTTCCCTTGATATAGTTACCATGGGCGTGTCTGACATAAAATTTCCCTTTTAAATACACTTGAGGTATCTAAATCTAAATCTTGTTCTTATAATAGAAATTTGGTGAGGAGAGATACTTAACGCTTATCATCATCATGTATGATATAGCGATCTATTTTAGTTGATAAATCATTTTCATATAAATGTTTATCAAAGTAACGGAACGAGCATTCTATGAATCTGTCTTTTATGGGCTTAATATTTGCATATTTGTACATGAATGTTATATTTGTATATCTTGGTACTCTATAAACTGTAGTTATTACTGAATTTTGAATTGTTTGAATTGTGTTGGCGCAACGTATGTCCACGCGGGATATTCATATTCTATAACTGGTCTAATATTCTAATATATTGTTTATATATGTAGCTCCTGTGCTTTTACCTGTTGTCTTATGAAACAGTTTGCTCGTTTCCACTCTCTGTTCTTTATTTCTGTAATGTGGTTATTGTAGGATGATATAGAATCATAAGTAATTCCAATTAATTTAGCTGGTGAGACGACGCTTAGAAAAGCTCCGTTGAGATATAACTCGGGAGGATTTCTGAGCGTTTTAGTTGATTTTGAAAATAGAATTAATTTTGTTTTAGAATCAATAATTTTGATTTTATATTTTTGGCAATTTTGTACAATTTTGTTTAATACCGGTTGCAAATTAGTAGCTGCAATTGAGGGAGCTACTGAGCTCTTCCATTTCGCCACATCGTCTGCAAATGTGTAGGGTCCTTCAAGGGCATGTCGTTTACATACATGATGGAAAGAACAGGACTAACTGCCCCTCCCAGCAGGACACCCGCCTCAGGGGTAAAGTACTCCGAGTAAGTAACCTCCACATTTACTCGACATTTTCTATTTTCTAGAAAATTTGATAACCAGCGAATAACTCCTGTTGTTAAATCCATTTCTTTCAATTTAAGTCTATTGTGCCATATAGCGACGAATGCTTTTTCTATATCAAGAAAGCAGGTGACAGTGCATTTCTTTTGATTAAAATTGCCAAGTATGGTTTCGGTTAACCTAACTAAATGATCAGTTGTTTGCCGAAACTTTTTGAAAATATGTTGATGTGATCTGGCTTATTCGCTGGTTTTTCTTCTTTTTAAGAACATAAGAACATTGGCTTGATTCCAAAAGTTGGTATATATCCATAATTTAGGGATAAATTAAATAAAGTTGTTAGATGGCCAAACAATTTCTGAGTACCTTTCTTTAAGAGAATGGCTTGTATACCATCCTCACCTGGAGTTATATTTTTAGTTTGTTTTATAGATGTAATTACTTCAGTTTTTGTTAATATACTTGTAATTTTGAGTGTATAGTCATTATTGTATATATATTGATTTTGAAGATTAATTCAGGGAGCGGGAAATTTTGGCGAATACATGTGCTGATTTTGTTCAACGAATTCATTTACTGTGTTATAAATAGGAGTACCTATATTTGGTTCGTCGCGTGTTTTAAATGTTTTACTTAAGTGCTCTTTAAAAACTTCTGCTTTTTGTATATTTGTATAAGCTATATTATTTTCATGGTTTAAGGTCGGATATTTTTATGTCTGTTTTGATTGTTTGTAAATCGTTTCAAATGTGTCCAAAATTTTTCAGGGTCAATATGTTCCTTTAATTGTGAGCAGTAACTGTCCTAACTATGTTGTTTTAATTGTCTTTTTTCGTTTCGTATTTTTCCTTAAGACTTAATCTGTGTTTTGATATACGGATCTCGTGTATTCATGTATTGTCTTCTCAGTTGGCGACGTTCTTTAATCATGTTTAAAATGTGTGCATGAGGTTGCCATTATATTCAGTTGAATATTGTTTTTGCTTTAGTATAGACTTTTCTGCAACTTTTGTAAGACACTCAGTAATTGTTTGACAATAATCATCAATATCAGATGTTTTTTTCAGCAATTTTAATTGTTGAATTTGGTAATAATTTATCTAAATAGTTTAGATATTCTATCCAAATGGCCTTTTTATAATCAAATTTCGATTCTCTTATTGATTTATTATAATAGAGTTCGAGATCAAAGACACGTGTTAAGGTAAGTGATCGATATCTAAATCAAAACCATTGTCTTTTGTTAGCGTTAAGAACCTCATTCACGATTAAGGATGGCGGGCGCGTAATATTGGTGAATTGATTAGGAGATTGTTATGGCTTAATTTGGAATTTACGGTGACTTTTTAAATTAATTATAATTGTTGTCTCTAACTAATAACTCAAAAGTAAGTATAGTGGCTAATCGTTTCATGATCTAGAATTTATCAATATATATATCTTAGTGAGAATTAGGTATTCACAGTATCAGCTATGAAACCGATTCTCACCAATTTTATCATTGCTGGCATCCCCTCCCCCGACCTCACTCCTGCTGATTGCTGATTATTTATGGGGCTTTCTCAAGATGCGGGTCTATCACCATAACACAACAACCATATTCTAAGTGAAAGTTGTCATTATGAAATAATTTCGGAAGATTACTGAGGAAATGTTATGCGTTGCAATATCCACACCACTACCAAGAAGGACGTAGTGTCAAAATATATTACTGCGACAACAATGTATGTTATATTATGACCCTTGTTGTAAGCATCGTTTTCACACAGATCTCTATATCTAGAGGTCAGCAGCCATTTTACATACCATGCTTTAGGATCTGTTCTCCACATACATATGGTTATGACTGGTTATGAATAAAAAGTATCGTAATTATGTTTGACCTTCAAGTATATGCTTATAATCATTAACTCCTATAATACAAGACTAATTATTAACTACAAATTAAAATATTCTTACAGCAAGTCTAAGTATTACCACTGATTTACTCAGAAATAATTTCACCTCATAATAATGTAAGTCATATTTTCAATATTATAGATTAGCTGTTTACTAGGAGTTGCCAATGTCGATAATACAGTATCGAGAAAGCTCAGGAAAGTTAAAAATAGAGCAGTTTCGTTTAATCTGCAGAAACAAGGATCCGATGGAAAAATGAGTAATGATTGAGTCAGTTAGAAAAGCTATTCAGTGTTTAGTAGTGAGGTTTCGTGTCTATTCTTCTATTCAATTATTTGGTGAGCTGATGTTTTGTTTATCTATCAAAGCTAAGTAAATTTGGTGTACGTACCATCATTATAGTCTCGGAATTTTCATTTAAACGTTATTTGCGAAGGTAGACCTACAAAGTAAAAATGAAGTGGATGTATCAAACCTATATTGTAATTCATTATCATTACGTGAACTGGACTCATAGCCGTAGCTGGCTACGAGGTCACCGAAGTCCGGACTTCGGTTAGAATTTGAAATTATATGTAGGATACTATTTAATTTTACACCCATATGGAATGGGTATACAATGTATAAAGCTGAACATATGTGCTTGCCTGTATTTGGACATTGGGTAAATTTCCACTATAGCTACGGTCATGAATGGACTTGGCATTATTTTGGTCAAATATTCCAATAGAACCTGCCTAACGAAAGAATATGTTACAACCATAATAATGAAAGATATTAATATGAGTTAAGTACTGAAAATACTTAAAAATAGCCCAGTTTATCATCTCATGCAATAAAAGTCGTCCATGGAAAAAAAATTAAAAATTTGCATATTGCAAAAAAAGTAAAATCGACCAATCTGGCATCATTGAATGCTATAGTGATTTCCTCTAGTGACATTTCC